TATCAAAGACTTTCTTTTGCTTGGATGAACCATCAACCCTAATGGTTGAAGCAGTCAAGAATTTAAATTAAATCCTTGATTAGGCAAATGTACTGCACAAGACCTCTTTAATGTTTTCAAGCAAAACAGATGTTAGTTTGAGGACTAAGGTGTGTCTGACCCAAGCCATGGTATTTTCAGTAATATCATATGCATGTGAAAGTTGGACAGTGAATATGGAAGACATGTTCTCAAGCAAACGTGAAACATTTTCAGAAGAGAACATGACTCATTTAAAAAAATAAAACAAAAACATAAATTTCAATGAACAAAAATCAACAAACTAAATGGACATTGTTGTCTATAAGTTAACTCTGACTTACTATCAATGTACAAAGGAACACAACATTGACCAGCCTTGAACCTTCTTCATGATCATTGCTAGATGGTGCATCACGTTGTTTTTGCCACCCTTTCAGTCCAACTCACTGAAGGCCTTCCTTATTTTTATATACCTTCCAGTTTACTAACAATGATGTCCTTTCTAGTGATTTTTACTGATGATGCTTTCAAAGTAAGTGAATAAAGTTGGGCCAATACTTCTAAGAAGAATCCTGTTTTCTCTGGCTAGAAATCAGTGAAAAGAAAATAGCAGGGAATCTGCAATTATTTGGAAAATTAACAGTATTATTATAAATAATTTATGGATCAAAGAGAATATTTCAAGGAAAATTAGTAAATATTTTAAGCTGAAATAAATGAAAAGACAGCATATCGCATTTTTGGGTAGCACGTGTATAAGATTAAAAGTTACTGTTCAAAAAGAGAAAAACTTTAAAATCATTCATCTAAGTTTTCACGAAAGCAAACTGAAAAGATGAAACACAAAACAAAACAAGCAAATCCATATCATGCAGATGGAAGAGAATAATAATGTGAACAGAAATGAATGAAATTGAAAACAGAAAAATAACAGTGAAAATCAGTAGAAACATAACTGAGTTTTAAAATTATCAATAATAATTATTAACTATGAGCAGATTTGGCAAGGCAAACTAGAAAGGAGGCATATTTTATCAGTATAAGCAATAAAAGAGACCATCAGTACAAATCCCAAAGACATTAAAATTATAATTATGGAATATCACAAACAGCTCTATGGACATGAATTTGATAACAAATGTGTTTTTTAGCAAATGTATAAAAAATAGAATGGAATGTGATCCCAATATAAAATGTAAAACTACAAAACTCTAGAAGAAAATATAAGAGCAGATATTTGTGACTCTATATTAGGCAAAGATTTCTAAGCTATGAAACCAAAATATGATCCAGAGGAGGAGAGTGGATCTCTCAAGAGTGGAGGGCTTGGAGTCCTTCCCATCCTCCACCAGCTGTCCAGACTCTGCTGCCACCATTTAGACTGCTCTTCTGATTCTTCCCAACGTGGTACCTTCATTGGGAGAAAGGCCAAGCACTCTCTACCCTGAGTCAGTGCAAGTGTGGCTTCAGCAGCCCATGGGGCAGAACCAGTGGTGCAGTTATTTTTTGACTCAATGAGAAAAATTCAAGCTAAAAAGACAGAAGGAAGAAAAGAAGAAAATGGGGAAAAAAAGAAGAGGAAAGATTTAGTCAAGAGAATCAGAAACATGCTGCATGTTATAATCAAAGCCCAAACTCCTTTCATATCTTGACCATACTAATAAATATAATGTATAAACATTGTCATTAAAGGCTCAATTGATTGAACTTACTTTAAGATTTGGGGAATTGTTACTTATCATTAAAATCATAAATTGGAACTGCAGTGAAAGTCAAATTCACTTTAAAAAGAAGTGAATATAGCTTCACTAAGAAGAAATGTTCAAACACTCTCATAATTGCCTGCATTTATCATGGTCCTGAACATAATGTGTGAGCTTATGTTTCCAGGGCAGTCTCCCTTGAATTGTTAAATAAAGAGGTAAGATATAGGGTGAGGAATGATTCAAGGCTATTTTCTCTGATTTATTATAGACCTTAAATTTTATATCATTTAAAAATGTCTTGGTCTTCTACTGCCTTCAAAAATGATGATTGTGAACATGCTAGTTAAACTGTATCACTTTTTAGAAAGCCACTCTTATGCAAAATATAGAAGAACAAGTGATTGGCAATATATATATATACATATATATGTGTGTGTGATCCATCAATAGAAAAATTACTAACCTAAATATTATCAACATCAATAATTTTTTAAACAACCCCAAACAATATGACTCTTATAGGACAAAAATACCTAAGTTATAGACAAGGAGAAAAGATTTGTAAATCATGAATCTAGAAACAAGTAACCTCAAAATTCACCATAGAGAAAACAAACAATTCAATTTTAAAATATACCTAGGACTTGAAGAGCCACTTCTGTCAAAAGAGCAATGAATCACAAAAAAAACACATGCAAAGATCTTCAGTATCATTTGTCAGTCAAAAAAACTCCACTGCTGTTGTGTCAATTCTGACTCACTGCAATCCATTATCGAGAACAGCTGCTCCATAGGTTTTCCAAACTGCAAATCTCATGAAAGCAAACTGTGTCATCGTTCTCCCACAGAGCTGCTGCTGGGTTCGAACCACTTATCTTTCAGTTAACAAACCAATGCTTAACCTACTGCACCACCAGGACATTTGTCATTAGGGATATGCAATGTAAAACCATAATGAGATATCACTGGTGGTGGTGGTGGTGGTTATGTGCCATGGAGTCAGTTCCAACTCCTACCAAACCCATATATGGTTCCAAGAATGTAAATCTTCATGGGAGCAGAAAATCTCATCTTTTTCCAATGAAATGGCTGGTAGTTCTGAACTGCTGAGCTTGAGATTAGCAGACAGACTCATAACCACTATGCTACCAGAGCTCATTTGCAATAGCACTATTCAACAATTATCATGAATAAACTTAAAAAATACTGATAATACCAAGCCTAGGGGAGGATGTTGATGAATTGCAACTATCATACATTTTTGTTGGGAATGCTGAATTTTAAAAAGCACTTAGGAAAACAGTTTTTTTCACTTTCTTTAGGAGTCCTAATGTGATGCTGTAAGATAAGCACTGGACTGCTAACTGCAAGGTTGGCAATTCCAATCCACCAGCCACCCCTTTGAAAACGCTCTACAGGGTTGCTATGAGTTGGGACTGACTCAACAGCATTTAATAACAAAAGCAGCATGTATTTACCATATGTCCCATAAATCTCATTTCTGTTTACTTCAAAACAAGAAAAACTTAAATCCACACTAAAACTATTTTCTAATGTTTTTAGCACCTGTATTCACACTAGTCCCAAAGTGGAAGCAATCTAAATACTTTTCAGTCGATGAATGGATAAACAATCAGTGGTGCATTCACGTGATGGGATATTTCATCTCACATAATTGTACTTTGGATATGTTATTAGAAAGAATTAGTTCCTGGAGAAGGATACCGTGTTTCGTAATGTAGAGGATGAGTCAAAATAAGTAAGACCTTCAATGAGATAGACAGACATAGTGGCTGCAACAATGGTTCAAACATGCTTATGATTATGAAGATGGTGCAAGACAGGCAAAGTTTTGTTCTGTTGTACATAGTGGGAACCAACTGGATGGTGCTGAGTAGCATAACAAAACAACATTGGTGGTCTAACATGCATGGAGTTGGTACACTTCCATTGGTGTACTTTTCTTATAACTTGTATTAGTTCATTCTCTTCAATTAGACTTTCATTTATTTGTGGTCAGGGATCCTATGTCTCCAGAACATAGCATAATGCAGTAAATATTCCAGAGGCTCAACCTACATATAACGGGACATCAAAATAGTCCATTATCTTTTAGTTCTATTTTTCTACAAATTTTTGGAAAACCCCTAATATTTCTAAATATAGATAAAGCACTGATAAGAAAATAACATTTTCCCCAGGTCCACAATAAAAACAAAGCTAGATTTATTATCTTGTTAATTTTTTGGCTGATGCTCTTATCAGGTACTGACCACACATAAATCAGAAGATACTTTATGTTTCTATTTTGACAAGTCATACTGCAGGAGTAGACTGATAAACGTAATTCTTAAGGAATTAGTATCAGAAGTTACTATTACTAAGATACTTCTCATTTTAAGAAAATATAATATAAAACTCAAAATTACACACACACAAAAAAGCCCACGCTACTGGTTGTTGTTGTTGTTGTTATGTGCCGTGGAGTCGGTTCCACGCTACTGGTAGAACCCTGAAATTATGACCCTGGATCACTTTTCAGGTCTGCAGCTGAACTCACCCTCTTGGCTCAATTTTCAACACTAGTGAGGTGCACACAGCGTACAATGGTCAACCATTTAAGATCAAAAAGGCAACGTTTAAGCCAAGGACAAAATTCAGAACTGTTGGGAAAGAAGGAAGAATTGTAACAAGAAACACAGTGAGGAAGTGGATTAAGTGAGGTTCCATTGAGGGAATTGGAATCATTGAAATGAAAGGAAGTATTTGATTTGTTGAATATAAAACTGATGACCAAATCTGTAAACTCTCAGTTCACAATTAAAATAAAAAAGAGATGTTTCTCTTCTAAAGATCCTTTACAATGAAAGAGTAATTTAATTACAATATTTTATTTGTATTAAAAAATATTATAATGATGTTGCTCAACATAATATGTATATTAAAATATGCTCAGAACCAACTAAATAGCTTCAAAATATATGAATATATATATATATGCATATACATATTCAGATATGTTAAAACAAAACAAAATCCAAGATATCACTCTTTTCCTCATCATAATTTGTGTTCTCAATGTTAATCCTTAGAAAACAAAACCATCCTAATTTAGACATTCCCCAAAGTCTTCCTTGTAGTTTTAAGAGTTATTGTAAGTGTCTGAAAGTGTCAGATTTGTGTTTATCATGTGCATATTGCAATATTGTCAGTGAAGAAGTCTTCACAATATTTAATTAACATCTACAAGGTACCATAGATTTTTGAAGTTTTTTATATTAAGGTTTTTATTGTGGATTGAGTGAATGTTTACAGGGCATATCATCAGTTATTACATCCAATAAATCATATACCTTGTTTCATTACATTGATTATAATCCCCTCCATGTACCATCAGTTAACAGTTTTTCTCTCTATCCACTTTAGCTTTTTCAAAAAACAAACAACAACAACAACAACAACAACAAAACCCCACTCATGCATATATAATAATTTACATCTCCAAAGGGCACATTCTGCAAGTCTGCTCCTGGCCACCACCTCTTAGTCCCTCTCTTCTTAGTTCATGAATCTAGAGTCCTCAGCTGCTCCCCATCTCCATGCCCACATCTCTGCCTCCATCTCTGGCACTGCTGCTTCTCTGGATAAGGTCTCGCATTCTGCTTGTG